GTTACTGTGCCAAAGGGGCTTTTGACCAGCGTTTGAGATAACGTCACAATGGTTCACTATCCGTCGAGGAACTCGTTGAGCTCGTACGGTGTAAAGTGCTGACAAACCAAAACATTCTGATAACTTCGGGGCAGAAGAGTCTTATGGAAACTGTTGGTACAAAGATTTGATGCGACGTTTTTCGGGAGGGGGAGAAAGGGGTGAAATATTGAAAAAAGCACAGCACGCTAGTGGACTCTGTCTGGGAAAAATTTGATAAATAAAAAATGAGCATATAAATTGCACAAGGATACATCACAGATCATTTGAAGATTTATTTAAAAGTTCCGTTACAATTGTAATATAACTATAGAACTGTTGATTTGGTACCGCACTTGACTATAGCATGCTCAATGAGAATTGACATCGACTTCACGTTTTCGCCCATTGGTACCGGCTCCTGCACCACCATTTGCCGCTCCTCCAGTATTAGTGGTTCCTCCAGTATTAGTGGCACCGGCTCCTGCACCACCATTTCCCGCTCCTCCAGTATTGGTGGCACCGGCTCCGGCTGCATTACCAGTTGTCCCTCCTCCAGCGCCAGCTGTCCCAGAATTCGGAGCGCAGGCCTGTAACAGAATACAATGTTATGTTATCATGCCGGGAATTCTTTTTCTAACAAAATTTTCAAGTGTCATAGTTTGTTCCAACTGTTCATGAATTTTATATCCTCATATGTTCACAATCTGTGGCCCTAAATTATCATTAGCACACTTACCAGCGAGGTCGCGATGACACTGAGAATAATTAGCAAATGAACCATGGCGATTTGTTACGCAGCGACACGGTCAATAATTCGTTTCACTAAATATATGATAATAAATGAGTAGATAAATGTTAGTCAAACCTCTAAGAATTGAATAGATTATAGGTTCAAACAACAGCGAGTTTCTGATACGTAATCCTAACAACACCAGTCTAAAATTTCGATATCAGCAGCTATTCGCTGTGGGCGCAAGTTCAAAGTTTAGGTTCTTAAACAGTGAGAGTTTTCTAGTCTAAGAAACGCTGTACAAAAGAATGTTCATTTCGTTTCTCTTCACAGGTCTTTGAAAGAATCTGCTAACGAAGACATCTTCATGACGAGCAGCTTTTTAATTCGCCATTATATTGCTTTAGAAATAATAAAGCGCGAGGTTATCATAAACTCTTCTCACAGGGAATTTTGCAAGTGATTCGTAAAGCTAAGAATTTTCATGGGCCGCAGAATGGTTAGTGTAACAGAAGTATCGAGAGTAAACAAGTAGTACTGTTGGAGGTGGGCTGGTCGGCCGTTATTTATGCTCACGACATTGCGGTTCAGAGTGTAGGAACAATGCCTTTGTGACGCTTCTCGAAGGTGATTTCATGGATAAATACCTGCTCCATTTTTTCACATAGGTTTCTATGCAGTCCTCTCTACATCGACGTGATAAATTGGAATTTTTGAAAATGGGCATCTGTTGAGTGGCGAGTGAATTTCGGGATCCTCCTAAATTTGCATGAGGACCTTGTGCAACATTTTTCTCTCGCAGCTGCTATTTGAGAGCCCGTGGAGGCAAGTAATCCGATGGAGCAATGCTAATGCTATACGGTGGATGCAGCATCTTGGTCCACGCCGTCATACTCAGAAAGTTGCGAGTCGGGAATGCAAAACGAGGTTGGACGTGGAGATGATGACGCATAATCCTTTTCTCGTCTCATCATCTAATCCCAATTAAGTAACTCTGCGGGATTGAGACCATGTCACTGCACCCCGTGCATTTTTAATGTGTCATCTTATTCCGCAATTAAGCGATCCTAAACAGGAGGAGTTCGAATTCAATAGGAACTCGAACAGGAATTGGGAGACCCATTATAATGGGAAGTGCCAGCTTTGGTATGCACTGAAATTTTCTAACCGCCTGGAACCAACATGTGAGAGGTCGATTGAATCCCCTCATTGCTGCAAATCAAATCCAAAGTCATCTTCGCAACAGTGTCGCAACAATGTGTGGACATACCAAGAAAGCCATCATGGATAATGAAATTCCGCAACCACCATTCCGGAAAATATTTCATGATATTCCATAAAAACTTTATTCCAATTTTTTCTCTGAAACGTTGGTAAACAAAATCATTTTGTGTACCAACGTTAGATAATTGCTTCGCTAATATATTTGATCACGAAAACACCTGCGAGAAGCGTCACAGAGGCATTGTTCCTAAACTCTGAACCGCAATGGTGAGCATAAATAACGGCCGACCAGCCGACCTCCAACAGTACTACTTGTTTGCTCTCACAGAGGTTCATTCACACCAGTAATCACTGCGGCCCATGTAAACTCGTTCCTATACGAATCAATGGCAAAATTACCTACAGAAAAGTTTGATAATAACTCTTATGCTTTATTATTTCTAAAGCAATATAGTGAAAAATTAGAGGGGCCGTCATCATGAAGACGTCTTTGTTAGCAGATTCTTTTGAAGATCTATGAAGCTCCCCCTGGTTTCAGAACCTAACGTTTGAAGTTGCGACCCCAGCGATATTGGTGAGGCAAAATTAAGATTGGAGCTGTTAGGATTTCGGATCAGAAAGTACTCGCTGTTGTTTGAATTCATAATCTGATCATTGGGTTTGACTAACATTTATCTACCTAGTGCAACGAATTATTGACCGTGTCGCTGCGTAACAAATCGCCATGGTTCATTTGGTAATTATTCTCAGTGTCATCGCGACCTCGCTGGTAAGTGTGCTAATGATAATTTAGGGCCACAGATTGTGAACATATGAGGATATAAAATTCATGAACACTTGGAACAAATGTGACACCTTGAAAATATTTGTTAGAAAAGGAATTCTCGGCATGATAACATAACATTGTACTCTGTTACCGATAACATAACATTTTACTCTGTTACAGGCCTGCGCTCTGAAGTCTGGG